TCGGGAAATCGAACTCTAACTATGAACTGAAACACTTACTGAACTCTCAAAAGAGCTAATCAACCACCAAGTATTATGACTAACCATAATATCCCCCAATATACCGAATGATTACAGGATAAGAATTTATCCACTAATACAATTAGACTTTATCTGAATGTCTTAGATAAATTCCCGCAAGAATTCACCACCCAAAGTTTAAAAGAATATTTTCGCACTAATCTGAAAAAGTATGAAGCCACCAGTCTCAAACTGCAACAAAGAGCCTTCAACTCTTATCTCAAATTTAAGAAGTTAGAGGTCGAATGAGAAAAAATTGCTCGGTTAATTCCTCGGATGCAAAGAAAATTTTTTGACACGATTAGTGAGGAGGAGTTAAAGCAGTTAAAAGATGCTAAGGTAGAAAAGAACCTCCAAATTCAGGAACGCAACAACCTAATTTTTGACTTCTTATTCTATTCCGGAGTTAGAATTAATGAATTAGTTAATGTCCGACATTCTGACTGACAAACTAACCAATTAAGAGTTCATGGTAAAGGTAATAAGGTCAGGTTTGTATTATTGCCTGATTTCTTAATCACCCATTTTAACCCTACTTCTAATGATTACTTATTCACTAATCAAAGAAGCAATCCCATTAAAGCCGAATACATCAGATGACTATTAAAAGCCAGAGCAGAGAAAGCAGGAATTAACAAAAATATCACTCCCCACACTTTTAGAAGAAGTTTTGCCACTTGACTTTACCGCAACAAGGCTCAACTTTTAACTATTCAACAACTCTTAGGTCATAGTAGTGTTCAAACCACTGAGAAATATATTCAGTATGATTGAGCGACCGTTTATGCGGATTATAGTAAGTTGTGGAAGAGTGAACTAAGCCAATTTTAATCAATTATGAAAAGTCCCCGCTGTCCTACTTGCCGAACTCCCACCGAATTAGTCATTTGTTATTGTCAAGAACCTCAAAAAGTTTATTTCTGTTGAACTTGCCGTCAACATTACCCTAACTAACATGAACCAACTACTCCATTCTTTTTACCGAGGACTAATCATCATGTTCCTCGTTGTCTTAGGCTTGTTTTTATTGGTCAGAATGAAAAGAATTCTCGCTTGGTTATTTGCTTTTTGAATAATCTTAGCTATTTTGGCTTTTTTTCTGCTTCCGCTAATTCTGATAATCGGAGCCATTTTTTATTTGGTGAAATAATTTTTTTCCCAAAAACACCAACCAATCTGCTCCAAAAGAGGCTAAACCTTGGCTGGAGCTACCTTTAACAGGGGGTAAAAAACCAAACAAAACTGCTTCCATCAGTGATAAGTTTGGGCTAAGTAATTAGCAAGGAAGACCTCTCCCATGGAA